CTAAAATGCTTTTTAAAATGCAGCTGTGAAACCTTGAGGGGGGGCGGGTGGCAGCAGGGGGAGTGGGGAGGGAAGGTAGATTACTTTTACAAACTAAGCAAATATCTCTTTTTTTCATTATTTTAAAGTTCAGTATATGTATATAAAAAATTTTCATTCCACTACTGGAACAAAATCCATCCCGTTTTATTCTTTCACAGGCATTTGAGGAGTGGAGTGCTCAGTTTCTTTTGGACAAATTCAAAAGAAGCAGTGAAATAGTTTTAGACTCTGCTGACCAGAAGTTACATTTGTGGTACATAAAACTATCAGAATCCAGTGACTAATGATCTTCAGCCGTCTCTTAGACTGCACCTAAACAACAGTTTTGGATCAGTTGAGAAGCAATTGAGATGGCTGTGGTAACTGGCAGATGTTATTTATGATGCTTCATTTGCGAAAACAAAATACGTAACAAATGGCTTCATTTTTCAAAGGCTGCTACTGGGAGTTCTTAAGGGTAAAATGGTTTTATGCCAAATTGTGAACTGATTGCTTCTAATCAACCAAATGATGGTAGAACCCTGTGAAAAGAACATACACAATCTATCATGTTTTGGTCTCTTGATAGTCCCTCTAAACGCTACCTTATGCTGGCGTATATCCACTCAGGCTTTTAACAGATCGTTAAAACGAGCCGAACAACACACTATACTGTCTAACAGAGTACAGTAGCACAGAATAAGAATGTTAAGTTACTTTAATGTCATTTCCAAATCAGCAGTGCCATTTGGAGCAGAAAGCTTAATTAGAGGATGTTTGTAATTCTTGTCAAGCTGGTTTGTGTGTATTAGTAAGACAGCAAACTAGAAACATATTACAGAACGAGGAGATTGTTGCTGTCATTTCATCCTTGGTAACTGTTGTCTTATTGACTAGGAATAATCAAACTAGATTTTTATAAAAGCTCGCATCCAGAGAGCAGAAAGTCTTCACTGTCTCCGCCTTATAGTAAGTTGTTTGGGTTTTTTCCTCCCATTCTGCAGACCTTGTCATGTTGCACAGTATGCACATTCTGGTTTGTATTGTCTTCAGAAAAGAAAACCAGAAGGCATGTGTTGTGCCACAACTTAGCCTTTATTTGACCTTTTTTTTTTTTTTTTTTAAATCAGCTGCCTCCTGTATTTCTAAGGATGGTTCTGAAGAGACATTTTCTGCTAAAATGGAGCTAGAAAGTCAGCTTTTGATCCAGCTTTGGACTTGCTTGTAGGATCAAGTAGCAAGGGTGGAAGCCAGTGCTGACCTCATATTTTTCATCTTCTCCTTTACTTGATCTGTGGGAGACTGTAGCTGAATAACAAGAAGGCAATGAGTTGAGCACTTCTGCTTTGTAATGGCAGCTCTGGGGAATATGCTTGTCTCATCCCCATAGTTGCAGTACTGTCTTTCATGTGAATGAGCTTGAACGAATGGCACCTGTATGAAGATTTTTTGATTAAGTGTTTATGGACATGTCTATGACAGCCTCTCTTAATTTTTTTTTTCTTCTTAATGTTTAATTGTCTCAAATTTCAGAATACCTGTATTAGAGTCTGACTTAAAATTCTTAAATACAAACATGTAAGGCTCCATCCAGCCCTGGGTATAGAAACATAGCAGGTATTGCAAATACAGTGACACCTTTACTTGAGGACGGAACCAGAATACATTGGTTGCCTCCTTTGCCGAATAAATATCACTGCAATTTTAAGGGGTAGCTCTGTTTAGCTGGCTTAAACGCTTCTGTCAATGACAAAGAAAGTTGGACAGTTTATGTAGGACCTATAAACACTTAGGATTGTTTCAAGGCCGGCAGGTGGAGCCCAAGATAAATAATACTGGTTTAGTATTTTGAGTTCTTTAGGTTGCATTTGTGCTCTTAATAACTGTAATAACATCAAGCAGAGTTGATGGGGTGACAAAAATATATTTCTGTCAAATCAGCAGTACCAAATAATAATGGATGTGTATTCTAGACAGGCATCGAAGTGTTGAAAATATTTGTCCCTTTAAGTAATTGTGGCAAATATTACAAACTTATTCTGCAGCTGTTTTCTGACTGGCAATTTTAGTGTAAGCTTTATGTTGACCAGTAACTTTGCACAAACAGCTGGACCAAATTGATTCTTTGAAGGGGAGTCAATAAATCAGCTAGTGGAGCCTGAAACCTGTTTATTAAAATAGTAGTCTTATGAGTGATTAATTGTCAACAGTGTTTTACTGAGCAATCCATTTAATTATTTGGCAGGACACCTGATGAATGCTGGGAGCCATATTTCCATAGTCAGCAAGAGTAGTCAGTGACAGTTCTCCATTAAAATTGTATTTTATATCCCTGCTTTCACCCAGTGTGCTTCTTTGAGCTTTGTCAAAAAAAAAAAAAAAGTTTCGAGGCTTGCCTGCCATGTCTGTGCTGATGCTGTAAATAGGTACCTCTCAACTGTAGGTCTGAAGGGATCTCTTCTGAGCCGTAAGTGTTGTTTCTGAAATAGTCTGGCATGGCTTTATATTTATAAATGTTAATCTTGATGCTCACACTAAGAAAAAGACAAAACGAATGAAGCTGTCCTATTTCTGTCTGTGAAGTGGGGACCAGTGAGCAGCAGTGTACAGTATTACTCTAGTGTATTGCCTGCCCCATGAACCACTCTGTTAATGCATTTTATTTCATGTGTTTTACGGACATAAGGTGACTTCTGATGGGCAGCTGGTAACGTGTCCTTGATGGTAGAAGCTGTAGCCCTTTACCTTCTGAAGGACATGCAAAGTTATAAGGAACTGCTTATATACTAACGAACTGCTTTTAAACTGACCTGTAAATCAGGCTATTGTTTTTATAACAAGTTGCTCAACAAACAGGCAAGAAATCACTCAATCTAGATTTTGTTTTTTAATACACTTCTCAGTGAGCTTTAGTTTTTCTTTATCTGTCTTATTTTGTTTGTTAAAATATGTCAATTTTTTTGTAAGCTTCCAAGGAAGATTTTGCGACATGAATTCTCAGAGTCATGGTTAGGATCAGTCTTGCACTGCTGCTTCTTTTGCAAACACTTAATTACTAATTCAGATCCTGTTGTCATCATCAGTCTTCTAACGGGGAATATCTGACGGACTTGATGATACCCCGAGTTCTTAGAGTTGTCCAATGTCTAGGTCAGGTGCTAGGCTGGTTGGATTGCCGGGCGTATGGTAGGGCCCTGTTTGGAAGGTCCTGTAGAATGAACAGGAGCAAGTAATCTTCATGACTATGTTCTGTCTGTGCAATAAGCATGCTGAAGAACCGGAGGTGTGAACAAGTCAGTGTTATTTATGTTTAGTGATAAAAAGCAGATGGGATACAAGATCCCAAGTTTTGTGAAAAGCTAACGAGATCTGTATGAGAAGATCCAAGTCTTCTAGAACTGGTGGTAGTTGGGTGGTAAAAGACCAGTATGATTGCAGACTATTGAAAAATCAACAATAAGCATCCGAGAAGGGTGATAACACCTTCTTAAGACTGATTAGATTTTCTAAATAAAGCTGGCTGTGGATCTTTTTAAATACCTAGCGAGCAAATCAGTTACCCAAAATTCAAGTCTCCATTTTCAGTTTATCATTGATTTCTAAAATGGTTATTTTGGGGTTGACTTGTTAGAGGTGAAGAAAGCCTTTGTGATTTAATTCTGTTTTCTCTGATGCCATTTTTGTAGTTTGTTAAACAGAAAATATTTTGGATAGCTAGGCTATTGCTGCTCTTAGCTAGTAGACTGAAGTCATCTTGGGAGTGAAATTTCTTTTGTTACAGAACACAATTTAAAATACTTTGTGAGATAGTGATATGTACATACACTCACATATTCTCTTGCACTATTTTTCTTTTACCTTGGCAAGCGTGTCAAGAATGTTGCAGGAAATAAAATAAGTCAAAAAGAGGTGCAACGGAAGAGTATCTTTGCAGAATATTAGATTGCAAGACTGAACTTGTGCCGTGACAGCGATGACAGGCTAGTTGTGGTGCTGAACTGTGACTTAACAGGAGCCAGCAGCTACTGGCAAGCTGTTAATTAAAAAGAAAATCTCTATAGATGCTGCAGTTGTAGCACCACTTCTGGTAATATGAAATGTAGTCAAGATTATCCATTTCCTGGTATCTCTAAAGGTAAATCTTGTGAAATTAAAGAGCAAGAGAGGCACTCTTTATGTATCTGGAAGTATGGTTAAACAGCCTACTTCTTGTGCAGAAGCTGATTGGGTTGCTGGGTTGCTCAGATGCTCTTAGAGTTGTGGTATTGAATTCTGCCTGTCCTCTTCCTCTCTTCACCAACCTTGAAAACTTTTGCATGGAAGAAACTCTCAGTAGCAGTAAAACATGGTTATGTGTGGTTGATTGGTAACAATCTCATAATTGTTTTAGCAACCACAAAAAGTAAGGATCAGACTGCAGTTTTATTATCAGAACAAAATTTCATTGGGGCTACACAAAATACTTGAAAGCTGTTACGTGGGTTTGAAATAGAAAGCACATTTTTCATGCCATCTGGGCATGGCCAGAATTTTAAACATACCACAAGTGCTGGAAACTATCAGAATGTACACTCTGGTCCAGTGTGTTTTTGTTTGTGCCTCATGTGTTTCCCGATGATGAAAAATAATACTTTCTCCTGGACTTTAGTAATAGCTTGGCCTAAAGTATACTTTATTTACAGGTTTGGGAGTGTTTTTACAACAGCTTGAGTCCTTGTCAGTTCTAGTCTTTGCCAGTACTTTTCTGGTGCTTGTTTCTGTCCTACAAATCTGAATTAGCCAAGCATAACTCTGAAACAACTACTGTAAGAATTTAGTTAATAAAACATTCATTGAAACAAATCTATTTTGGAAGCCCTGTTTTATTTATTTTCATTGTGAGCTGTTAGCAAGAACATTGTAATCTTTAAGCTTCAGCATAGAAGCGAGGGTATCTTTTTATGACTTGCAGTATAATAGATAATCTTTATTTATTTTGTAGGCTATTACAGAATGACCTTGCACTGAGCCTTTGTGGAAGAAGCAAAATTTAAACATCAGTTCTTCAATGTGCATCCTTCTATTCAAATTTGATCCCCGACCAGTTTCAAAAAATGCATACAGGTAAAGATGGTTCTAGTTAAAACAGACTTGTTTCTATATTTTAATACAATTTTTTTTGGTAACCAATGTTTGAATTAGAAACTCAAGTCAGTATTAGGTGTTCAATTATGCTCTTGTAATGTTTAACTTAATGATTTTCCTATTTGGAGGCCTTACTGTAACCTTTTGAAAACCTTTTATTTTTAAACTGTGTCAGAAGACTTGGACTTTGTAATCATGGGACTTTTGCTGGTGGTCTGTTATGTGGTGTAGGATGAATCCTTTAAATATTGTAATCCAGATTTTGAAAGTCCTGCGCTCTACCTTGTCATTTAAACCAAGGGGATTTGTGTTTGTTGAAGCATCACAGCTGTACCAGTCAAGTTCTTTCAACAGAGTCAAAGCTGAGCCCATCCACAGTGAAGGTCTGGGATAACATATTTAAGAAGGCAGGGGGGGAAACTGCACAACTGCAGCTGGAGAGAGGGGTGAGAATATATGAGAGGCAGAACCCTGCAGACCTGGATGTCAGTGGAGGAGGGACAGGAGGTGCTCCAAGTGCCTGAGCAGGGGTTCCCTGGCAGCCCGTGGCGCAGCCCATGGGGATGCCGGCTGTGCCCTGCAGCCATGGAGGGTCATGGGGGCGCAGAGACCCGTCTACAGCCCGGGGAGGACCCCACAACAGAGCAGGGAGATGCCTGAAGGAGGCTGTGACCCCTTAGGCAGCCCATGCTGGAGCAGGCTGACCCTGGAGGATGGCACTGTGGGCAGAGACCCATGCTGGAGCAGTTCATAAAGAACTGCAGCCCATGGGAAGGACTCATGTTGGAGAAGTTGGTGGAGGAGTGTCTCCTGTGGGAGGGACCTCACGCTGGAGCAAGGCCTGAGTGTGAGCATCCTCCCCCAAGAAGCAAGGAGTGGCAGAGACAGTGTGTTTATGGACTGACCCCAACCCCGGTTTCCTGTCCCTCTGCACTGCTGGCAGGGAAGAGTGAGAGAAATCGGGAGCAAAGCAGAGCATGGGAAGAAGGGAGGGGTGGGGGTAAGGTGTTTTAAGATCTGTTCTGTTTTGTCTCTCGTTATCTTACTCTGATTTGATTGGTAACAAATTAAATAGATTTTCCTGGAGTAGAGCCTCTTTTGCCTGTAACTGGTGAGTGATCTCTCCCTGTCCTTATCTCCACCCATGAGCCTTTCGCTGTGTTCTCTCTCCCCTGCCCGTCTGAGGAAGGCAGCGATGGAGCAGCTTTGGTGGGCACCTGCTCTCCAGCCAGGGCCAACCCAGCATAGGTTCCATATTGCTTTTTGGGGTACAAGTACTTGTAATAAACCAGAAACCATTAAGTATGCTCAGTAGATCATTGTGCCTTTCACTGACTTGGTTTTTTGCCCTTTTTATTGAGAAGTAGATGCCGTTCTATAGAAAGAAAGGAAATGAGAACCGAAACTTCAGTTGTCCATAGAGTGCATTCCTTTCTGCATCTGGAATCTGCCTAAAATGGGCTGTTGTTTATGATGTGACTGCTGCTGAATTAATGTATCCATTTATTTGATCTGACTTTCTTTATGTTGCTAGTTAGAAAAAGACAGATTCATCAATCTGATGCCCCTTGGGAAAATCCCTTGGATGTAACTGTAGTTGCTTGCCAAGTGAACTTTCTGCCATGATCAATAGTTAAAAGTAAAACTTGTAGCAGTTTGCTTGCTATAAAAAAATTGCATCAAGATTGAAATTATTGATTTATAGCAGAAAACAACTTGCTGTCAGTGTCAAAATAAGAAAACGCTTTTGAGATGTTTTGGCCCAAATTCAGGAATATTTAATTGTATTTAACTTTATTGATACCTGTTGTTAAGCTATGTCTTGATCTGTACCTCTGAGATCAATTGCTCGGAGCCATCTGTTTCAGTGATAAGGGCTAGGCCATAGTGTTTTTACTGCCTGATTTTAACAGCAGATACAAAACTTTAGTCCCTTTTTTTCCCCCCCCTTAATACACTCTAACGAAATCTTTTTGCTTTTCTTTATTCAGAAGAATTTTGAAGTTCTTACTTGTTAAATGGTTCCTAAGATTTTTTTTTTTCACCTTTGCCTCAGCTTTCTGAAGGACATAGGTCTGGGTATCAGTTGGGGATGGTACCCAACCCTCCTAATTCTCTGAACAGCCATTAGACCATGTTAGACCTCTCTATTCTAGTCTCGTGCCAAGTGTAATTTCCCCTGACCACTTCTGTGTGTTGCACTGTGCTATAGCTCCGTTTATTTCACCATGAGGTTTTGGAACCGTTGACCAATCAAAAGAGGATTCCTGTACCTGCAGACTTAACAATTTGTCTGTACATGTTAAAAAAGGCATCTACAATTACTTCTTATACCATCCTCTACGTTGCATCTCTAACTAAAAGAAAATGTCTAAAATAGACGTTAAAACAAACACATATCATGGACCATTTTCTTGTAGCCAATGAACTTTCTCAAACTATAACATGTTGTTCCTAACACTTAAGAGAATTTTCCATTCGGATGGACTTTTGTTTCTAGAGCAGTACGTAGGCCAATTTTCACGTGCACCTAATTAAGCAGTAATCTTAGAGGTCACCTTTGTGATATGCTAATGAATCTCTCGCTTCCTGTATGCTTACAGCTTGCTGTCCTACCCTTTTTCCTCTGGGTTCTCTCTGCAGGCCTATTTGTAGTGAAGTTGAGTGCAGGGTGACAGACACTTTACTCTAGTCCATTATTATTGTCAAAGGTAACATGCTGCCTTTACGTCTTTCTGAACTATGCTGTGTGCATCTTACAAATAAATACATGTTTCAAGCTTCAAAGCTATAATCACAGAGTCTTTTTATGGAACTGAATTACATTGTAGGAAATTGCCTTAATGGAATGATTTCTCATGTTTTCATCTCTCTGCCTCAACATTAAAATAAATCTTAATACATAAATCCTAATACAGTTGAATTATTTCAGCTATAAAAATAGCTGAATAGGTTGTTTTGCAATTTATTAGAAGATGAGGGTCACTTAATATTGCTCCTTTTCAGTATGATTATGTTTCATAAGAGACAAAATGAAGATGTTTTGATTATAGTGATCCTGTATAGTAGCCTAGTGCTAAATTTAGAAGTCTGTGTATTAAACTTGATGGGGAATATTCAACACACTAGAAAGTCTTTGCTTATTTTACTATTTAGTTACTATAAACAATCTGTGGTTTCGTGTCAAGACTAACTGAAGGCAAAATATAATTGGAGCTTTAGGAAATGAGAAATGCACTTCAGCCAAGCTGTATTTTAACAGTAGAGATGTTTGTTTAAATAAAAATCTGTAAAAGGCAGGTGCACGCTGTAATTAGAGGGTATTGGAAGATGTCAGAAATTTGGTGAACCAGTTGAAAGCCTATAGATTGAAGACAGGAATCTTCTAGAAGAAGAGAAATAATGCAAGTCAGAAAGGAATGATACTAATGTTATTTGGCATTGGAAAAATAAAAAGGTACTTATGCTGTGCTTTCCATCAGATGCATCTTTGTTGGGCAAAATACTAAGCATCTTCCTTACAGAAAGGATGCCATTGAAATACAGGTTTTTTGTTTTCTCTATAACAGATTATAATTAATTATCTGTAGTATTTTTAATGTGCAACTGGCATCTCATGATCATGTTTTAAACCATGTGTTAATGAAGAGATGGATTCGCAGAAAAGAACAGAAAACCTGCAGAAAACATCAGTACATTTGAATGCTGAGTAGCATAATGAGATTTCATTGCTCCTAAGACTTGTGTGTTGTGGCTTAAAAATTAGAGTGAAAATTGTGTAGTCTAACTTCAGTTTACAGTAGCAAACTTGTCTTCTGCTGTGTACATGTAATTGGCATGTGGCTGGTAGTAGGAACTGACAGTGAAGAAGACACTGAGGTTATAGGAAACTGGTTAAGAAAATCTGCAAGTTTCTGACATGTGGCATTTTGTCAAAATTAAATATTAAGCAACACAGCTGGAGGGAACATGGAACACTCACAATCTTGCAACTGCAATAAAGGCAAGCCATGTTATGGGTAATAACAAGCAGGACTTTGGAAGCTCTAGGTGTTGGGTGGCGGCATGGAGTGGTGCTCAAGGGTGTCTGCAGTCACGGATTGACCTGAGTCCCCAGCACATGGCTTGCCTAGGGGTTACAGGTGTCTTTTGTTCTGCACCTGGATCAGCCAAATCCATTGCCTGCTCTTCGGGAAAGGATGTTCTACCAATAAAAAAACTTTTTTTTTTTTATATTCCAAAATAACTGTTGAAAAAAATCTGGTGGAAGTGACCATCAAATGAAAGCTCACTTACAGGTTTGCACGTGGCAGTGTCTACTGATTCTCAACATAGAGACCCAGTAAGACTTCAAACTCAAGCTTTTATTTATAGATACCCTGCATCTATTTGATGTTGCAGTAAGTCATTAAATTTGCTTTCTGATGCTCTCTTCCATTGCTTTTGAATAACAGAAAGTGTGAACTTTCTCACTTTCAAAAGATGGATGTGCAGTCACATTAGCCTACACTTTTCTTTCTAGTGTTCCAGTACTAACTCTGCTAATGAAATGACTGTAGCATACATTCAGTGAGGCATTTGTATGATCTGTAAAGGAATACACTGGTCAAGTTGCTTTGTTTTGATAACTTCTGCTGGATGAAATGGGCAGAGAAACAGTTTTTGCTCTTCAAAGGCTGAGACGGTTGTAAATTCCTCTGAAGCTGTGCAGCTGTACTGACTCTTCAAATCTTACCTACTTTACATTTTCTGCCTGACTGGCTTGAACTGGTATTATCATTGAAGCTGACTGAGCTGCATTGCTGCCAAGCCTGGAACTTTTGAGGAAGGCCTGTCCTATCTTTTATGTCCACTGCTTCTTAAATATCATGTTGACTTGGTCTTTCAGGCCTGCAGGTGCCATTTATGATAATTATCAAAGTACAGAGCAGAGGGAACCAGGCAGAGCTAGTAGATTTTTCTGCCATTTCCTAATAATGTCTGGTGTTTTTTAGTTGTTCATTTTCTAAAATTATCAAATTTTAGATGGCATGTGAAGAGCCACAGAACATACTTTGTCGGGACAGCACTTGGTCTTGTGGAGTGATGTGTTTATTTCTAAATATAACTAATGAATTTAGACCAGCAGCATTTTTCAATTACATATTATTTTTCTTAACTTCTTCCTACCTCCTGACTGTGTATAGCCTCCAGGGCTGTTTGTAGTTTGTCTGCTGCAAGGGCTGACTCACTAACAATTCAACTCTTTTGTCCTGCTGTTCTGATAGAATTCAGATTATGCAAGCAACCACACATGAAAAAACCAAGTGACAGAAAACAGTGGGGAAAAGCCCCACTGAAATACCTCTCGGTTGTTACAAAACCCCATGCCATTTCCCAAATAAAACCCGTGCCTTTTCCCTTTGCTTCCTTAAGCATGTTGTTTCTTCGAACGAATTTCAGTGGGGCTGGACCTTTGAGACTGTCACAAATTTATCTCTGTTCTGGGTGCTTACTGACAAAAGCATCTGACTTGAATGTTTGAACCACATAAATAGAGCTTTCGGTATCAAATTTAGATGAAAAAAATACTGCTACTACATGATCCTAAGTAATGACCCAGTAAAAACATACTGTCATCCTTTGTTTTTTTTGATGTTAACTATAAATCTGTGGGTTATCTTTAAATTTTCTTTAATTAAGCTGTAATTTCCCATGCTGAGGAATTTTAAGATTGCTTAAGCAATCTTAACTCAATCTCTTGCATTGTAAGTATTTATTCTTTGAAAATAATAACTGCCTCATTCACACAACAAGTTAGACTTGCTGAATGTCTCAAGACAATGAGAAGACTGCTGCCAGATGTTATTCTACCTTTACCCTGGGTGATGATGGTGAAATGGGAGGATAAAGGACAGTTTCATACTCAAAATGAGCTAATGCTGTGGCAAGAATTGGATTCTGTTTCTGCCTTTACTATGAAGTTCCTGTTTGTAAATAATAGTATATTCTTGTTCTTGTGTTCTACAGGCTTATTCTAGCAGCTAATAGAGATGAATTTTATCACAGACCATCGAAATCAGCAGATTTTTGGGACAGCAGCAATGAGATCCTTAGTGGTATGTCTGTCTTGTTGTTTTGTGTGGTTTTCCTACAACTTATAAGGAAATTATGACCTGGGGTTTTTGTTATTGGGGGGTGGTGGTACATTTCTAATAAGAAATATGCTTCTCCCCTATACTTAGGGGGAAAACCTGTCCTAAGTTTGAAAGATGAGTTGTGCTAATACGCTATTTGTTTTAGTATCTTGTCGGGTTTTCCCACTTTGATGTTCAACTGATTTTAGCCCAAGCAGTGCAGTGGGAATATAACAGATTAATTTGTCCACCACCAATGATTATTTTAGCTCTGTCAGATACACTGAAACACTTCTTAAATAGGTGGAATTGGTTATTCCACGGACTCATTGTCTGTCATAGTGGTTTGAAATCATTGAACCAAACCTCAGGAAAGTGAAAACTTTCTCATTTCGTATTGGTTAATATTTTACAGGCTAAAGAATAATTTTAGTTATTGATCCAGTTTATTAGCTTTTGTGTCTACATTTTGCTAAATGGATAGCACAGTCACTCAGCTGCCTGGTTCCCCATTGCAGGGAATCTATCTTCGGACATCTTTAAGAATAATCAATATTTCTGCCTTTTCTCAGAACTGGAAATGAAGATCTGGAAGACAAAGCATTGTTTAAATACAAGATTTTGACTGTGCAAATACTCTTTGTTGATGCTGTGTGTTATTGTCATTGGCAGGGAGGCCTGTAAGCTGCTCTGCAACTCCCTTGCTTCTGAAGTTCTGGCTGACGTTTCTGTTTCGTGCCAGACATTCTGCATGCTGCTTCCCCTGCTATGTAGCAGTTTAAACAAACAAACAAAAAACTATCCTGAAAATAGAAAGGCCCTGAATTTTTGTCTTTTATGCCCTCGTCAGCTCTGTCCATATTTGGCCTAAGAAACTGGTGTAGTCTCCATCCAGGGGGTGTATCTGTGGAGATCCCATGAATATATGCCTTTGAGTTAATAATGTTGTGTCCTGTAAAAGCAGTGAGTTGAACCAAAATAAAGCATATTTGTTCTCTGTGTGGCTTAAAAATGAAAAAAATACTTGGCACTTAGAGCAGTTCCAGAAACTAGGAACTGCTTTATGTTAATCACTGGGCATTGGTCATCAAAGCTGTGTGTTTTTCTTTTGTGCACCTTTTGGTTAAGATAGAGAACAGTAATAAAAGTATTGTGTGAAGGTGTGATATGGCTAAATGCGCTATTAAAGTTTTGGATAGAGAAGAAAGAAAGGAGTTTCTGAATAAGGATCCGAAACCTGCTCTTTTGATCTCCCAATGAAAGTTGTCTTATGACATGATGATTCAGAATTAAAAGCTTTCTAACAGTATGCAAGTCATATTGAACTAGTTCTTGGTTTGCCCTTAAATGCTTGCTGGTTAACATGAGTTCATTGCAAATAGGTAATGGGTTTTTCTAACTTGTACCCCCTTTCAAGAGGTGTGGTTGCAGGCTTCACTTTTGTGGGTCTACCTCCTCAACATAAATTACTGCTACCAGAGGCCAAGATTGCTATCAATTACCTAGCTTACTCTAAATTTGTGTGGCTACTTGTGAATTTAAACTTGCAAGTAACATTTATCTTCTGAGATAGCTTTTGGACCAACAAGTGTTCTGATCCTACTTGAAGTTTTATATGTATTTTAGCATATAGGCAAAACTTAAAATTTTGCTTTTACGTTTAATTTTCTCATCATCTCTCATCTATTATTGGTGTAGCTTGGAAAATATTTAATAGTGTAGAATTGGAGGACTGGCAATTTAAGTGGGCTTACCTCACTTGCACCTACTACATTTCATTCAGCCTGCTCAAGACTCAGGGTTTGCATTAAGAAATTCTGATTTAAGCTTGATATTTAAAAAAAATGAATGTAATATCCAAACTCTCATTTATTCCATTAGGTCTGGATATGGAGGAAGGAAAAGAAGGTGGGACGTGGCTGGGAATCAGTAAGAAAGGCAAGATGGCTGCCCTGACAAACTATATGCAGCCAAAGATCGATAAAAATGCAAAAGGAAGAGGTATGAAGGAGTAGAAATTGAAAAATAAGAGAGTGGACAAACAAGCCCTGGTGTCCCAGTAAAATAGTGATGATTACATTATTAATTTTTTAACACCTTTTTATGGACAAATGAAATGGTGATGTGCTGTAAATGGAATTTGTGAACTGATGAGTTTGAGTACCTGTGTGGGGAACCTAACTTGGATAATGATATTCTCATCAAACAGGCAAAAGTAAAGCAAGATGTAGTGTCTAGAGCCGGAAGTTATACTCAGTCAAGAAATGCAGCACCAACTGTCTTCTCTTGACAGTACTTCTAATTAACTGTCAGAACTACTAGACAAGCATTGAGCTGGACTTCTTAAAATGTTTGTGTTCTTGTTCAAGCAACTAAGTTAGGGAAACAATGCAATTTGGGTTATGCTGGAGGGTAACAGAAGATAATTGTAGTCCTTTCTCCCCTGCACACTGATTAATCAGACGAGCAGAAATAACAGGAAAAAAACCAAACTCTACCAAAAGAATGCGTCTTTTTTTTTTATTATTTTATTCTTTTAAATTTTTTTTAAAGTAAAAGTAGGTCTGTTTGTAACTGTCACATGATACTGCATCAGGAATATATTGCAATGGCAGAACATGTTATACAGAGAAACAAATGAACCATGTCGTTTGTACTGCATTTTAGGGATGTATATCAGGGAAATGAAGCAAGACAGGAAAGAGTTGGGCAAGGTGGGAGGATAAGAAAGGCACAACCAGTATAGAGTAGTTAGTAAATATGATTTCTGTAGAAGTTTTGATGAAGAGCTTTTGACAGAGTTCTTCAGAGTAAAAATCAAGCTCTTAATGTGAATGTGATACAATTCCATTTGACTTTTAAACACCGGTTGGTTGTTTAGTTTTGGTTTGTTGTTCAGGTTATTTTGTTGGGGTTTTTCTCCACCCACTGTTATATGCTGTTGGTAACAGGAATCTTGTGTCTTTACTGTTTGTTTTACTAAGCCTATGAGTATAGTGAGTTCACACATACAAGTTGCTCTATGTACTTCTTTTTCTTAGGTGCTCTTGTAACAAACTTCTTGACTGCAGATCTGGACAGCTACTCTTACTTGAAGAAAGTTTCAGTAGAAGGACACCTTTACAATGGATTTAATTTATTAGCAGCTGACTTGAAGTAAGTCTACAAAACATTACAGTTCAAATGTCAAAAGGAGCAAGATAATTGTAGTAATGTACATATACTTTTTAGCACAGAACTGTAACAATACAGAAGCCTGTCATGAACTAAAGGTAGAGCTCTTCTTTCTTGTGAATCAGCATTTAAGGTCCTAATGTTGGTTTAGTCATAATTTCCTTTGTTGTTTTTTCATCTTTCAGATGCTGAAGACCTCTGTATTCTAATCCTTGTTTCCCACACAACTTCCTGCTACTCTTTCTCTTATAGGCCATAGTCAACCTTTACCCTGAAGGCTATGTGGCTTGTGTTTTAGAGAAAACAAAACCTTGGCTCCATAATTTCTCAGAATTTCTCTTTTTATTTGTTGGTTTGGTTTGTTTTATTTTTTTTCTTCTCTGGGAGGTGGCATGCTGTGGCAGGATTAGAACAGCTGAAAGCTTTCAAGCTATTATTCCTGTCAGAGTGGCTGTATCATTAATCTTTGCTTGAAACATAAAAAAAGCCCATCAGCATGTAAAAAATGTTAACTTCTTCAAGTTTCTGTAGCTGAAGAAAGGACCTTGGATATTTGCTTATAGTCCATGTGGTTGGTGCAGTCCTTTCCACTGCACATGCATGTGCACACACAAGTTCATATGATGGTTTTTCTTTGCATTATGCCTAGTTTGGAAGAATGGAAATCCAGGGCTAAGTCATCTCCAGGCTTTGTATCAATTTTCAGTTAGATTCATACTGCATGACCATAAGCAGGTATAAATTGCCAAGAGCACACCACTGCTTTGGCACACCTCTGCAGAAGCATTAACCTTACTAGGCCCTGCGCTGTCAGGTTGTCTTCTCCTACTTAGCTTTTCTGCACACTTCTGGGAAAGCACCTGCACTTAAAATAGAAGGTCATAGTGTTGACCCTTTTCACTGAAAATTATATCTAGCCCCCTATCACTAAGTGGCTTTGTTTTCACATTTTTCACTTACTGTGTTAGACCACCTTCAGCTGATGGTTCAGATGTACCAATCACTTCTTCCCTACTCTCCCACTTTCCTGCAAGTGTTCTATCTTTTTTTTTTTTTTTTTCCCCCTCCCATGAAATGACTTTATTGCAAATGCTGCCAGGCTGTTAGGTTTTGGTTTTAAATTTTCTATGATATGGTGGAAAAGTGAAATGAACCTCATGTAGGTGATCACTGTCTAAAAGGATGAATATAGAAAGGCAGACTGTGCTACCTGTGAAGATACCAGGAGTGTATTTCTGCTTGGTGAGCCTGCTTAGAATATAAGTAGATGTATAAGGAAACATAGATAATGTGTCCAGCATTTAATCCCGAAGCAGGTTAGGCTATTACAGGGTTTGCTGCTTTTCTGTTATTTTTACTCTATATTTTATGAAGTTCATTATCCCACCAGAGCCTTCCCAAAATTTTTCAGTTGCTTAAATTAATATTTACCGTGGCCAGAGGACTTGCCTTTTTTGTGCTCTTCCCTGCATGTTGCTGCATGGCTAGCTTTCATAAATTGAAAGGCTATCTGTAACTGAAAAGATAGCAAAAGAAGCAGTCTTACTGTGTTTTCAAGCAAACATGGTATTCAAGGTGTGACCTAGCAAGCAGTAAGTATGTTTGAGCTTCCTATTTCTCTTTTAGGTAAATAGAATAGTCATGATGGCTGCTAGTGTAATAATATTAAAGTAGATTCAGTTGACATTATGTTTAAGGCAGTCACTCATGTGTTGTTGTTTGTTTGTTTGTTGCTCCATGCTAGGCTGATAGGGAATTGTATGCTCGATTGAGTAGTCTTTCTGTGGTGATGCAGGTCATAATTCCTTGCTGAGTATCACTATGAAAGCTGTATGTGTTGATTAACTTCTCTATTTTGATGTGTTCTTAGCCTTGGATACTCTGATGAAATTAAATTCTTGGCAAACTAATGATGCAGAGCAATACAGAACAATCTATAAGACATGTGAACTTGTCATTTGAAGAAATTAGAAGTACTCCTGAGAGAAATGTAGTATATAAATGGAAGCTACATTTCGATGTAAATAGAAAATGTTATTGTAGTCGGTGCCATTTTGGTGGGTCATGTTCAAAGAAAAGATTGAAGACTCTTCTTAACATGTTCTTCTGTTGTGTAACAAATAGTGATTGGCTGTGTTAGTGGTGTGAAGTGGAGAGGAAACTCAAATTGAAAGTGTAAATGAAGCACTGTTGGGGAGGAGTATATCCGAGCACCTGGTACTGATGACAGTAGGCAGCACATTTAGAGAGAGTTTTACAGTGTTTGAGTTTTCAAGTACACGTGTCAGGAAAAGAAATGTTCCTCTTATCTCTGTATTACTATGATGACAGTATGCTAGATGTTACCGGTGCAGTGATGTGAGGAGGAGAGCTGGAAACGCCATACGGGTTGTAAAATCTCGTCGTTTATTTTCGTAGCTTTGTGTGACTCTTATTTTGAACATGCATGGATTTTGACGCTTTTAGTGTAATCTGCTTGCTCTGTGGCATCTCGTTGTCAATTTAAACTCTATTCATTTTTTTAATAAGAATGCTGTCAGAAAAAATACTTGGTCTGTAATCCCCTCAGTTCATCATCTTGCTGTATGTCGATTGAGTCATGAATACTTATCCTATTATGCTAAATGTACATTTATGTTGAACGTATAGCGTATGGCAGATGGTGCATATTTGGAGTCCTGTGTGACTGCAAAATTAGCTTCAAAGAGGGCAGTGGTGCTACTCCTCCAGTTTTGATTATCAGTAGGTTTGATTAGAGGGGAACAGGGTTATCGGAAGCTGGACTGCGCTCAAAGGAAATGTCTGTTTAAGATTCAAAGCAGTTTGCCTTCTTTTTCCCTTTGTGGTAATATCTGAAGTAATGGTGAGCTGTTTTTGTTGATGAACAGGACAGCATTTCTGCCTTGGGAAACCCGTGTACGTGTCCAACAAATCTAGTTGCTAGATTTGCTCGGACTTTCATGGCTATCCCAAACTTCTGCGGGAGCTGTTGTGGCAGCATCTCCCTGATGTTCTATACTGCTCTGAAGGACAAATGAAGTGGCAGCTTCTTGTCACTCTCCCAGCAAGTTTAGAGTCTGGCAGGTTGTAAGTTAGAGCCCGTAATGTTTAGGAGCAATAAGGTTCCTGTCTAATAGGGGCTAATCACTTTCACCATGAGGAACAGAGGAATTGTACCTTACAAAACAGATCAGCTGGAGGGAGTTGCAGAAAAAGGCCTTTCGTGAGCTTTTCTGCTCTCCTTGTGACAGGCAGTTCTCAGTCCTTCCAGGGGAAATGTAGTAAACTGTACCATCACCTGTGTTGACTGATTTGGTGATGTATTGGAAATAGAGATTATGTACTGGAATGTTATTCATGTTCTGATCTGGAGAATGAAGTTTGGTTCATAATAGGTTTTATCTTGATCCGATGATGGATGTGAGTGAATTCCATTTGAAATTGCAGATCCCCAAAACAATGGGGTTGGATTGTATATGTGGGGTGGTAATAGGTATGTAAATACCTAATATAAAACATATGTTTAAAAGTGTTTCTGTATGTAAATTATGTATAAATATATAGACACTCTCTATTTTTCCTTTTTTAATATGGAACTCCCCCACTGGTTAGTTATGTAGCAGCATCATTGATGAGTTAAAAAAAGCAAACTGAAGAAAATGTGTTTGGGTGAAGAGTTAACGGAACTGTTGACAGTGCAGGGCCTTGTAAGATTAAACCACCTGAAAAGTGTGACCAGGCTTTAGAAACATGGGCTGTCTTGTTCAGCATGGTTATCAAGACAAGGATACATGGGAGGGGTTTGAGTGCTCCCCAGAGATTAGGCGTAGGAACCTTTCCAGTGAAAGGTGAGATAGGGTCAGACCGCTGGTGTGGAATGTTGTGGCAAGGTGTCACGATTGCTCTGTAAGCTTGCTTACGTTTTCTTCTCATGCACTGTCTGTCCTAATATCACCTTCTGCCGAGGACATCTCTTTTGCTCCTTGTGACTTCCTCACGAAAATGAGGTGTCCAGGTACTTCTCTAATATGTTCTGAACTACCACCTTTGAAATATTTCTGCGTAGATCCTCAGTCACTTGCAAGTCTAGAGAGATGGACACTCCAACGTCAGGAGAAGGCAAAACGCTTCTGAAACGCCTTTTTTTAATCTGTTCTGTCTGGCACCTTCTGCCTGACTCAAATGTTGGGGAAACACCAAAAAGATGTTTAGACACTGACAACAAAACCAGAGTAGAGCACACTTTGTGTGCTGTGAGTATCTGGCAGTATTCTTTCCACCATTTCATTTCATGCTAAGTGGTATATGTACAAAAACGTTTGGGCTTTATAGTGGGTGGTTTGTGTGGGTTTTGGTGGGGTTTATTTTTGTTCAGTTTCAGAATACAGGGTTTTCTGATGAGCTCATGAACATTGAAGAAAATTAATCTGTGAACAGTACTACTCAGCTGAAACTACTGTTCAGCATTTCGAGCTGGCAATTTCATCTTTCCTCCTTATGCAAAAAATACTTTCACATATTATTCATAAAACATTCCAATGTCCTTGTCTGTAAAGTATTCTCCCTGTTAGCAGATGAGAGCGCAGTGCTCAGGGGCGTGATCCCTTGGTGATAACCAGGCCCTGTGGAGCTTTACTGCCTCATTACTTTTACTTTTTTCCCCCCCTTTCGATTTCTATTTTTGTTGAACATGACTTGGAGTTGATGCAGGGCAGGGGTGCAGAAGGACATTGCTTGTATCTCATCGACATTAAGTAGTAATTCTGCCAAACTCTGCATGGCTTTAATGTTGCTGTGAATCATCTATTACTGCTGAGGTTTATGCTGCCTAGAATATTTTCTAGAATATTTATTACTGCTTACATTTTTTTTGACAGGTTGATGTATCCAAGCCTATTTTTATGTAGTTTTAGTTTCTTCTCATTCTGCTGTCAGCTATGTCTGGAATGGAAAAAAAAAAAAGTCTACTGTGTCCTATTGCCATCACTTTAATTAGGCCTTTATTACTTCTTCAGTGAAATTGGTGTCTATACTTGTAAATCTGGGAGGGAAGAGGCTCTGAGCACAGGCCAGGATTTGGAGGCTATTGCTGTGATCAAGCTTACAGTGAATCTTCATTTTGGCTTCTGCCTTTATGTTTAGTACGGAGTATCTGTAAACAGTAGGAAGAGAATAGGCAAAGCCAAATGATAAAAGGAGGAGTGGCTGACTGGCACTCTGAACCAGATTTTGGAAATATCCCCCTTTCAGAAGTCTTTTGGAAGGCTTCAGTCATCTTTTGACAGAAGACAGCAGCAGTGTTGCAGTGGAGATACGTGTAATAGAAAACACGCATCTGGGGGGGAATGTAGTACCATTAAGATACAGCTGTCCTGAATTAGTGACCTTGCAGTTTGTATGTTCCCCGTCTTTTTGTTGAACTCCAGGGGATCTTGTTACTGAATTTCTCAGTCACAAGATTCTCAGAACAGATGCTCGATGATAATGTCCTTTAACACAAAAAGCCATTGCTGAGGGAAGGCAGTAGTGCCTCCTTATTCAGCATGTGGTCTCATTTATGATGGGACTTGTCTTACAGCTGTGTTCAAGAGCTTGCTTGGGCCATTTGTCTCCCTTTCCATCTAAAACTGTCTTTTGAGACCTCAGTTGATAATAACTGCTCTGATCTTCTATCTGCTGTAGGAGGTCTATGAAGAGACAGGTTTAACAATTTGAGAAGAGTATTTAATGCACCAATAAAATAATTTGTGTAATTACTGGTAACTTAACTGGAAGAAGACCTTGCAATGACTGTAATGATTTTGTTTTATTCGCTTAATTCATAAAATGCTTGTAGTATCTCTGTAACTGGTACTGCATTTTTAATTTTTTAATGACCCAAGTGTTAATGTGAAAATAGGCCATTAGCAGGTAACTCTTTTCCTGTTTTTTAACTTTGGTTTATTTGTTCTTTCTGTGCTTAGTCATTGTATTGTATTAAGACCAGCTGTTTTTTATTTATGGATTATATTTTTCAACGTACTATTCCTTGCTTGTGAGATACAATATAAATAGTTTGCTCCATGAAGCACACCAATTCAGCAACTTGAGGGGACCTAAAATACTTGTCTTGAGCATCACTCCTTTTATGCCCCTGTTGAGTGTGGCATGTCTAAAGTTTTTCCTGTCTCCTTGAAGACCTGGCAGAATCCAGTTAAGGGAAGACTGTATGGGAGACCTATATTTGAAACTTGGAAAAATTTGTAATAGCATCCATCTAGCTTAAAAGCAAAATCTCTCAGTAATTTAACTGAAGGAGCTAATAATAGGAAAAAGAGTGAAATAATTCTCATTGTATATGGCATGACTATAAAAATAGCTCATTCTTCTTATACAAATATTTCTGCAGACAAGTGTACTGTCAAAGAGGTTTGCTGAACCAGTATAATGGGTGAATACTTCATTAGAGAATATTCCCACTCCGCAATGATTTATTTCTAATAGTTAAGCTTATTCAGCAAAGTGTGTCTGGTGAAAACAACTGTTGTTTTGATTGCTGTGATTACTTGCTCATGAACAAACTATACTTTTTTTTTTTTCTGTGTAACTTTGAATTCAGAGTTTGTTTGTACCTGAAGGAGTCTCAAAAAATGGAAGGGAAGTTCAGGTTGTTGCTAACAGAATTTTTTTCTTCTGCTTGTACTTTTCAGCAACACTTTTTCGTATTTATTGAAAATGCTGTATTTTTCTGCCATGGTGTGTTTATGAATAATAATTTAACACCCCCTTTATTTTCTTAATCGGAGACGACAACTCCTTGGACAGATTCCATAGATGGGGTGAAGAAACAAACGGCTTTTTCACTAACATACATGGTTTTTCCTTTTTCCTTTTTTTTTTTTTTTTCACCCCTCTCATTGATGGGTAAGAATATTTTTACTGAATCACAGGTAATACAGTAACATGAGAATTCCAGGAGAAGCTAGTAAAAATCTTGATTGTGTAAGAATTAGGGCCAGAACAGGAAAGGAGTGATCGATATTCAGTCCCCTGCTGAAACCAGAGCATGCTGGTTGTCACAATTCTGATGTGGCCAGCTGTCTGTGAAGAGTTGGGGTGGTCAGTAAGCAGGCTTGAGATCAGCATTAGGTAAATTTGAACAAGAATCTCAATGTTGAAAAGAATAACAAAGGAAAATAAATGTCTTTTTAGCCACTAGAGGAAAATTCGGAAAAAGCCATTTCTTGTAACAGCAGATAAATTGTAAATGGAATGAGAGCTTCTTATTTTGTATTTAACAATAAAAGCAGTAATACATAAATCCCACCTGCTATGATTACTGTCTTCTTACTGTGCTGAAAAACTTAGACATCTTTGTGTAAAGGCACCAGCCAAGTCTTACGTGTTTGGGAGGAGGAAGAGTAGTGTACAGAGGAGAGGCAGGGGGTGGTTTTGTGCTCTGTGTGTCTTCCTCCTCTTGCCTCTTCTGATTTGTAAAATTAATAAGTTAATATTTCCCTCTTTATTTGACTGTCTGGCAAAGGCTGCTGTAGAATGTCTTACAGAATGGCTTTTTAAGAAGCATATAAACAGCTAAATGAAGACTGGTTTGCTTGTTGTTAAGGTTAGAGTAGTGGATGCTAACTTAGGAAAGCAATTTAACTTTCAGTACATCATTAATGACATTGCATTCTATATACTCTTATTTGCCTCACAGCACAGATACGCCTGTTTATCTCAAGCAAATAAAGAGGACCTGGAAATGGCTTCTCTACTGTGTTACAGTTTATGCTGCTTAATCCAAATTCAGTCTTAATTGGAAGTTTTAGGTTTTTTGTTTGTTTTTTAAATTCCAAAAGTCTATCTGCTGTCTAAGGAGCTAGAGCTTGGGGGTCAGGTTAAAAGCTCAAGTACAACCAGAATGTATTTGTTGGTAACTAGAATAATCCTCTCTTCCACTCTTAACAAGTGTACTTGCTAGAGTACAATACAGAATTATATCATCTCATGGCTTTGTCCCAGCAAATTAAAAGAAAAGAAAAAAAACGACAAAAAAAAACCCTAACCCCAAAACAACTAACTGATAGCCATCTGAGGAATCACTATTTCACGTCACCTGATGAGACTGAGGGATGTTAAGAGTGAGCTGCCTAATGGCAAGCCATTCCCCACCCTCCATTTCCCACAAGACACACAAGGCTTATTGAGGACTTCCCCCCCACCTCCCCCTCAGTTGATTTGGTATTTTGTTGTCAGCATTGGCAACACTGCTTAAAAATCTATGCTGTTTGGATACACTGATATTGTCTCTGCCAAGCGAGAGTTATTTGCAGTGCTGGAAGCTATCTTTGAACATTATGTGAGGTCCCTCCTGGTAAACTGTATGAGAGAGTGCTGAAGCCAGGACCTACAATTACAGAATGTAATCAAATGTAAAAGCTGATGGTTTTTCAAGGAGAAATTCTTATGTATATTTTTCAGTACCACCAAAGGAGACATAATTTGCTACTATGGAAACAAAGGAGAACCAGAACCTGTTTTCCTAAGTCCTGGTAGGTTTTCTTCTGGAAAGGTCTTAATATTACTCTGTTTTACATGATTCGGAATGTATCTGTATTGTTCTAGTAATTTAGCTGTTTACGTGTTGTCTTCACTATCATATTATTTGCATTCTTTTAGGGTTAAAAAAAGAATTAAATGTCCTTTAATTCTTTTAAGTATTTACTAATAAATTTCAGTAAAGAATGAATAGTTCATTAAAAGCTTCTGTCCGTGTCACTGTACCCACCTGCAATTAGTGGGATGCTGGTTATGTAACTGACTGGAGGACAGAAGTCTGTCTTGAGGAATGGAATTTTCAGGGGTCTGTGAACTTGACCCTGACTTTCTACCCAGCATTGTGAAGTGCATAGTGTGGCTAAGCTCCCCTAGGGACAGAGTTGGTGTTGTATTTGCCTTACCAGGTGGATTGATTTAAAATATTTAAAATCTAGCCAGCTATGTAAAACAGTACTCCAGAATTCATCACCAAAAAGACATTTTAAATGAACAGGGGCACATAGAAGGTTCTGAGCAGTGTAGCTGGGTGATAACAGTTAATGACAGGGGTGGCTTATTTTGCCTGCTTAGGTTAATGGCCAAAGTGTGGCTGCCACTAGGCAGATAGTTACTGCAGCAATTACAGCATAAATTCTTGGAAACAGCTGTTAGATTTTGTACAGCTACAAGCACAAAACAGGTTTTAACGCAAACATATAAAAAAAAAGAAATTGAAAACCCATCCACTTGTTCTAATGAGAAACTGAGTCACATGTCTGTTGTCTATAGACTGTAGCAAAGGTAGTTCAAGTCTCCATGCTTCAAATACAAATTCCTTTTTAGGCACTTGATACCACTGTCTGTCATTGATACTAAACAGTACTGGTGCCCTGAGGGACACCACTTGTCACCAATCTCCATCTGGATATTGAGCCACTGACCACTACCCTCTGGATGTGACCATCCAACCAGCTCCTCGTCCACCAGGGAGTCCCTCCATCAAATCCATGTCATTCCAGTTTAGAGAGAAGGATGCTGTGGGGGGCTGTGTCAAAGGCCTTACAGAAGTGCAGATAGATTACATCTGTAGCCCTTCCCTTGTCCACTGCTATAGTCACTCCATCATAGGAAGCCATTAGGTTGTTCAGGCAGGACTTGCCCTTGGTGAAGCCATGCTGCCCATCCCAAATCACCTCCCTCTCCTCTGTGTACCTTAGGATAGCTTCTAGGAGGATCTGTTCCACGATCTTACCAGGCACAGAGGTGAGGTCAGTAGTTCCCTGGGTCCTCCTTTCTACCCTCTTTAAAAACGGGTGCAATGTTTCCCTTTTTCCAGTCAGCAGGGCCACCTTTGATACATAGTTTAATGACCTTACTTATTTTTGAAGTAAGATGAGAGCTGGCAATAGGGTGAATAAGGCAATTATCAGAAGAGATTCATGATGGAATTTGTGTATAGCATTTGGCTTTGTCTTTCAGACTGTGTGGGATAAGATAATTATGTTTGCGTAGTACTTAAGTTAATTTTCTTTGCTCCAGAGCTTAATAAGTTACTTTGGGTTTGTTGTATGCATAGGAATATATGGATTGAGTAACTCTTTGTTGGATACACCATGGAAGAAACTTCAATATGGGAAGCAGCTTTTCACAGAAGTGATCAAGAGAAGTCAAGACCTAACCAAAGAAGACTTGGTGCAGGAGCTTCTTACAGTGATGAATAATCAAGAGCCGTAAGACCATGATAGGCAGAGTTTACTCAAAATGCAATACAACCAGTTTAAAAATTGAACATGGAAAGTATTTTGACAGAAAAGCAACTTTTGCCTTATATTAATTGAGTAAGGCTGGGTAATGAAGGGCAAAAGGTAGTGCTCTTTCTCTCTCCAGAGACTGATTTTTGACGATAATTGATTTTTAAGCAGCAGACACAGTAAACATTATTACTGTGGTCTTAGTACTCATAGTCTCTACACTCATTTCTCTGTGCCCTTTTCTTCTAAAGATTGCACTTCTCTTGGTAAGGATAGCGGGTGCGAGACAAGGGATGTGATGTGTTAGCTGCTTGCTGTAGCCTTCACAAAGCTTCACTGTAGGGTAAGGTTCCCTTTCTTACTGCACGCAAAGTAAGCGCTTGTTTACATGAGCAGGTTTGTGTTAGTAGCTGCTAGCTATTCTGTATGCTACCCAGAGTAGACAGGGGGTGGAGAAGCATTTAATTTTTGAAATAGAAGCAGCTGCCTTGCTCAAAAGTGCAATGATTTTAGGCTAAATGGGGGACGGAGATAAAGGAGTATTTGCGCAGTTCAGCTGTAGGCCTCTGGTCACGGAAGTTCCCAAGAGATGAGTTTGTGTATCTGATGAGATGTTTGGAAGTAAAGGACATTGATACCATTCCAGTGTCCAGACGTGGAGCAGGTGCTGTGGTCTACATTCATATTGTTGCTCACTGTCCAGTGATTCTCATGTTTAGCCTGACTTTTACCTGTCGAGGGCATGATTTGTGTGGAAGCAAAGCTGTTGCTGGTACATAGATCCAGTTTCTTAACTTTATAAATCAGTTTTAATGCCAACATTCGTGTTCGTGGCTTTTTTCAGTGGTCCAAAATAAATGTTTACGTAACTCAGACATCTGAGCAATGAGTAGTAATTGGGAAGTCTGCTAAGCTGTCCTAATTACTTTTTTCATCTGCAGTCAGATCAAGGGATTCTTAAAAAAAGTAGTTATACTTTTACCTTTTACTAATAAAAAGAAAAAGGTATAAGGTACAATACAGTACAAGTGATCTTCCCTTAAGGTTCAGTAATTCAGCATGATCTCATCTGAAATCATCTGACTATAAAATGGAAATATTTACTTACAAAAAGCAATATTTAACACTAGTCTGTAATCTTTCCAAAGCACACTTCAAGGTGAAGTTATCTCTTTCATAATAAATATGAACACAATGATATGCAGTAGCTTTGAACTTTAAAATATCTCGTTGCGTATTACTTTGATCACTTTGTGTGTTACAGGAATTAAGTGGGTACAGTGATTGGTGGTGGAGTGTATGAGATAGAAGCTGACAGTTCTCACGGGCTGAAGTGCCCCGCTATGTGCCTTCTCTGTTACATCGTGGTATGCTCCAGCCCTGTGCCCAGTGCAGGAGTGAGAAGAGCTTAGTTGCTCTAGTCACACTAGAATTGCACGTATTCTTGCTTCTCCCTGAAACACCCACAGGTCTTCTTCTCCACCACAACAGCAAAGAAAATGATCCCAGTTAGATGTAAAGGTCAGTTACGGTATAACAAATTGCACAGTCTCCTCAACAGATGAGCATGAGCTCTGAAAATGGGGTTGAATGGGGTCTGTTTTGTTCTGCCCTCTTCCCAAGCATTCACTGTACAGCTGCTGAATACACTGATAGACTGCTGCCTTGTTATTTTGTTAGTACAGCTGTGCTAGGAGCCAGAAATGGGATTACTTCTTGCAGGTGAAAGAAGCTAAAAATTAAAAGACAAAAATCTGCTATAATAACAGTTAAATTGGACTCTGATAAGTAAAATTGGAATCTTTAATTATTGAAATAGAAAGCTGAACTTAGAGCTAGCATTTGAGAATGTTCTGGTGAATGGAAAGCCAGGGATATGTGGTTGCTGCAGTAACCTTTGGGACCTTAGCATCTCTTTTGTGGAATACGGATACATGTTTAATTACAATTAATGAAGCTTGATATTTTATACAATAGAATTGTGCTGGTAAATACCTTTCAAGCTTGCTTAGGAATATATGTCAAGAAATGTAGGCACAAGCTTAACTTGTCCTCTGCTGCAAATTCACAAATTTTAAGGATTTTCCTAGGTATTTTCCCGGTATTCCAAATAAGATCAAAGCAAGCAGAAAGGTTCTTTGACACAAAAAGAACTAGAGTCTAACTGGAAAAATGCTGGTTTATGTGATGTGCCTCAAATTACTTGATCATTAATGTATTAATTGAAAGTAAAATACATAAAACCAGACAAAGAATAACAAGGAGAGTGAAAGATTTGTCAAGATATGAAAAATATTTCTTAAAGTGATGCAAAAGTTAAAGGCCTTGAAAGAATCTCATTGGGAAAGAGCTTACAAGCTGTTTTATTTTTAGTTTTCCTCATACTGAAGTTGTGAACACAATGTACACCTTTTTTTACTGTTTGAAAAGTGATTGTTATTCATCAACCGCTCAGTCAACACAGCTTGGATCAAGAGGGATAAACGTGTTACTATTGGAGAATTAAATTTCTTTTTTTCATTTCTTTACAACTTTCTCAGCCAATTACCAGACCCTGCGATTGAAGACCAAGGGAAGGATTATATACGTCCCATACTGAACAAGTATGCAGCTGTATGTGTTCGTTGCCCAGGTTATGGAACAAGGTAAAAGATTCATAATCAGAAAAAATGGTTGCGTACTGGATCAAAGCATATCTCAAATCAAAATTATGCTGCAGTAAGTTTTAACCCTATAGTGACTGCTTTAATTTTGTTCAGATGTTAAACAAGTATAATTTAGTAAAGTATTTCCTTGCTTAGTATTTTGGTGCCCTGGTTTTTCTACTGATGAGCATTTTAAGCACACATTCTGATTAATTTTTGGTGGGGAGTGTGACATAGCTTCAGATTGTCCAAGACAAGATAACACAGTTTGTGGAGTAGCAGATCTGACCACCTCTAATTCTGTTCTTATCAAAACAAGCCATGCTTTGAAATTATGTTTTTAGCAGAAAAGTACCATTATCTTCTATATCTGAGGAATTGCAGAACACATTTTTCTTCTAAGAGCAAGAATAGTTTCATTTGCATAGCAAAGTTAAAAGTTTCTTTAGGCATGTCTTTGTAATATGTATCTGTCACTTCCATACATGAAAAACCTGTTACTCTTGTTCAAAAGAACATGTGTTTTCTTTTTCCCTAACTGATGTTGCTGTTTTTTCTGAGATAGTCTCACTTTCTGCTCAGAATGTTCCACCAAAGCTGCAAGAATAGAATAATGCAGTGCATCTTTTAATCCACAATGGGACAAAATTATAGGTGAACCCTGTTGCTGCTGGTAGGGACTTCCAGGAGTTTTGTCAGACTGGCCTCTGGCAGAGCCCACCGTAGCATTGCCACTGCAGTGATGGAAATTGATAAGCAGAGAGCACTCACTTCTGTAAGCATTTTAAGTTGGTATTCTGAGAAAGAAACTACTGTAGAAACTGAGGATCTCTATTAAATGCAGTCAAAAAACATTTTAAATATGGGATAATGAAGACTTAAAATGGTGAAGAAGCATCTTCCTCCTCTTGCTTCAGTTTGCAGTCTAGCTATTTGAAAGGAAACAGGGATCAATCAGCAGAAATACTGACCTCTTACTGGTGAATTAACATTATATTTCAAGTCTTCCCTGCTACTGGAATTGTATGTTCACATTTATCTTTGACTAAGCCATGCTGCTAAGGAAATCGACATTGTTAATTAGGCCTAATGATACACTTCTGGGGAAATTAAGCACTTCTTTTTATATGGGTGAGCAACGGTGAAATAACTTGAGGAAGGCAACCACATCAGGATGGTGGAAAAATCCCACTTCTGCCATTCATCTCTCTGACAGGATACTGCAGTGTCCATAGAGCAGCTTTTCATGAAAAGAAAATTCCTCTTTGGAAGGTTCCCAGAAAGACAAAAGTTTTTCTGTGATTGTGTGTCAGTGTACCATGATAATAACTAATGATATTTAAATCTGAGTGGACATTCGATGTGAAAGAATGGAGGAGTAGTATTGATATGAATAACCCATCAGGGTGTGTAGGCTCTGAAGAAAACTTGGGTTTATGGTACTTCTGAATGGAACGCTTGGCACTGAAGAAAGTTTAACCTTTTAGTATACTCTGTGAATGAGGAGCCTTGTGTGTCAGCTGCTGCAAGTGCAGCTGGGAATTGGAGCAGTGGAGTGACAGAAGGAAGGGACTGAAAATGCCCATTTGCACTTGCCAGGATGATTTCTGCCCTGCTAGCATGGTGATTGTGGCCAAGAAAAAAAATGGGCTAAAACCTTTGGGGATGAGGGATGGGGACCCTGCAAGTTTATGTAACGGTTATAAGGCTTAACCTTCTACCCTCATGTTGTTTCAGGACTAACACGGTCATTCTCATTGATTCAGAAGGACGGGTTACATTCACAGAGCGCAATATGATCAACGCAGATGTCAACCAGTGGAAAACAAGCACCTATGAATTCAAACTGCACGCTTGACAACTTTCCATTTGAGTGGTTTGTAATAAAAGCAATGAGAGAACAAGCCATTAAGCTCTAGTAAATGTTTTGTGCCAGCCTCCACAAGCTAAAAATAGCAAGGAAAGCAAAAGTTAAACCAACTGGTAGCATGCCCTATCAGGCTCACAAATCCTTGGGATAAAACCACAAATAAGAAACTGGGTTTGCATTAAGTAGAAACTTACAATTGGAAAAGAATTTTTAAATATCACCCCACCTCCAGGGCAAGGCCATCTTTGCCCATAACAAAGTCACTTTTTTTTTTTGTGGGTGGTTTTGTTAAAAGACAATTTAAGTACGCACTTAAACATGTTTTTAGTTCAGAGGAGGGGAAACACTTGCTGCATTTATTGTTCTGTCTGAAGGTTTTGCCAGACTTTGCTTTCCTTTCAACTTATGCTTTTAGGATTGTATAGCTGATGCCAATATGCATTAAATAAATGTGTGTTATTTTTGTAGCATTAAGTGCTTTAGTAACTTTTAAACTTTTCAGCAGTGCCATAGTTCAATGTCCTGCCTGGGGACGGCAGAGCAGGGGGGATTCTTTAAGTTTGTTTTCCTACAGATAGAGCAACAGATCTTGTTTCTAAAACTTGATTTGAGAGTAGGTAGAAATTTTAATTTAGTCTCTGTTCAGTCTTACTGGCAAAGCTCATGGGAGCAGACTTGCTTATCTCTGACCAGAGTAAAATTGTGTATTGCAACATTGTGTTTCCTGATAGTCTAATTAGCAATATTGGTTTTTTAACTATCTTCCCCAGCAGGCAGGTAAGGAATAGGTATCTGTTTGCAAACAGAAGCTGAGTATAAAGTTTACATATATCAGCTGGTTTGTACATGTGAAGTTTGGGCTTCATTTCTTTATTAGCATATGTTCAAGCCTGGAATGAGTGCTCATATATTTTTAGTAAAAGTAGCTGTTTGTTGTAAGGTGACATTATTGCAGTCTTATATTGCTGAAAAAGTTGGGAATTAAGATGCACTTTGTATGTTCTAACATCTGTGAATTAAAAAGCTATTTAAGTGCATGCTTTTTTTTTTTCCAATTATTCAGTGCCAGTGTAGGTGATAAAAGATTCTGGCTAATATAAAAATATTTTTTAAATGTAAGTCATTTTGCTGCTATTGATGTTCTCTTTTGACTTATTTTGAATGGTGAATATTAAGTTAGTAATGGATCACTGCAGGGTTTTTTCTCTGTATATGCTGAATGTATTCTTTTTATAAGCCTCTGAATATTAGTTATTACAAAGTAGCAAGATTTCTGATACACTTGACAAGTATGTTCAACTGTTCTGTACTCAAGCTTGTGTGTTCAAGCATTCTGCCTAGTGTGTGTGTCTGTAAAGGAAGCTGCAGTAAATTAGACTTGCTGTTCAGGTGAAGAACTGTGAAAGGCCATTCCCAGATTTCTAATTGCCAGGAGATGCTAAAGCAGCATTTAGTCAGTTATTTCTGTGGTATCTGGATATTTACATAGCTTCTAGATACCAGGGCTGCTTGCACGACTACTCACAGTTGTTTGATTCAGTACTATATAAATCACAGAATAGTCAGGGTTGGAAGGGACCTCTAGAGATCATCTAGTCCAGCCCCCCTGCCAGAGCAGGATCACCTGGAGTAGATCACACAAATGACTTTTTGACCACCTTGGTTGCAAGGTGATCAGTACAGTCTTGTTGTGTTCCACATGGTTTCAAACTTGGAACCTTCCAGATTGTTGTTCTGAGCTGCAGGAAACAGTTAACCATTTTTATTTTTGATGACTGTTTAAACCATGTATTTGTATGAATAAAAATATTATTTCTAGATGCAAAGAATAGCCATAGCTGTCTTTAAATTTGAATTTGACAAATGCATGTTTAAAAACAAAAGTCTGCCTCAATGGCCTCCTCTTACTTAAAGTCTGTGTAGCAATTTTGTTTTCTTTAATATCTTAATAAAAAATTACCAGTGCATATTTGACCAAGACATTCTCTTTGAGGACATTACCTAAATGGCAAGCGAAATGCTTGCATGTTGTTCTATGCTAAAAACATTTGTATGCCTTAGTTTTTATAGTAGTCCTGTAATAATGAAAATTTATTCTTTTTTACATATAGGGAAAAGAAAAACAAGCCAGAGCTTAGATGTAAAAAACAGGTTATAATAATGTGTATTGCTTTGCTTGAATCAGAATTCTGAATCTGGGATTTGCTTTTTCTGACAATTGAAATATATGGTAGAGAACCAAAATCTCTGATGTAACTTTTTTATTATATCAGTATATTTAATTAAGTGAGCTTTTTTAACTTCTTTTTGAAGCTTATGAGAATTTTGTCATTGGCTTCAGTGGAAACAGGCCTAGGACTGCAGTGCAGATATCAGCAAATGATGGTTGTCCATAGAAATGATCAGGTGTTCATGAAGTGCATAACTTACTGTGTGCAAACTACAGTTGCAGTGAATCCATGAAAAAAGTAAACTGTAGCTAAAGTTAACCGAGAAAGTATTTTATTTTTATGAAAGTGTTTTTAAGAATAAAAGAGGAATTTAAGTATCGGTTTTAAAGGATATGATGGAAAAAAGTGTACATAGGAAACTATTACCTGACATTTTACTGAGTTTGCTTATATATAACACTTTCTGAAGCCATAAATTTGCAAGAGATTTTTGTTTCCTCTTTTCTATCAAAATGATAGTGGAAAAAATTCTAAAATATCTGTAAAAACTCAATTTTATTATTTTGCTAAAAGTTGTTTCACAGTTGTTGTTTACATGTGTGTTCAAAACTACCATCAGAATAAAGTCAATCTGGTGACCAGTCTTTGTCAGCGTTAATAGATTGTGCGTTTTTGCACGTATGCTTGTGTTAATTTGCCTGTAACTTTATGTGATGAGATGAAGTAAAATCGTTCATGAAGTATTAGAAATGAAAGACCTTTAAGTCCATTTCTGGTACTTAATTCCTTTTTAAGAGCATTGTCATTTTGAGGGGAGCTTTGTTCTGGTTTTTGTTGTTGTATGTGTTGGGGTTTTGTTTAATTCTGTGCTGTTGCATGATGCCACTTTTCCAGGTAAGAAATTGGAAAATATTTCTTTAAAGCTAATAATACAGGAATTGCCAAGATCTGCAAAAAGAGAAGAGTTATTAACTCAGGAGCCGCTGCAGTTGTCACTGCTAATTCTTGTCTGTTCAACAAGATAAAGTTGGTCTGGAGTTTACTGGTCTTGAAGTTAGGTGGTTGCATCAAATCTTTGTAACAAGAGAAGTTATTAATTATCAGGGACCTTGAAAATTAGTGTAATGATAAATACACATTAGCAGTACTTTGAGGGGCTCAGGTTCCCCCAAAGAAATTGAAATAAGTGCAGCAGAGATACAGTACAGGTGACCTGAAGGAAAGAGCAAAACCAATGCTTACTTAGTGCAAAGCCAGAGCCACACAACATGCTACTCAAGGGCAAGAATCCGGGTTCACTGTGGAAAGCATCTGGATCCTGGGCAGACCTGAGACTCTTTAATTACACTAAGTTGAGAGTAATTTAATGTTCTGTCATACCAGGACATTGTGGGGGAGATGCAATTGTCTTGTCTCCCTGCTACCAGTAGCTTCAATAAATACACCTTTAACAGACTAGAGAATGAGTTAGGCCTTGGTACTGTTACAAGTGAAATATATCAAACTCAACATTAAGACAAAATATTGTTAAGACTTGGATCACTGTTTACATAATATCATAAAGAAATAAGTAATTTCACAATGAATCAATTAAATACTAAGCAGTAATCTAAAGGGTGGGTGTCAGGAGGATGGGGCCAGGCTCTTCTCAGTGGTGTCCAGTGACAGGACGAGGGGCAATGGCCATAAACTGGGAAACAGAAGGTTCAGCCTGAACATGAGGGAACGCTTCTGCACTGTGAGGGTGACCGAGCACGGAACAGGCTGCCCAGAGAGGTGGTGGAGTCTCCTTCCCTGGAGACTTTCCAAAGCTGCCTGGACTTGTTCCTGTGGGATCTACTCTAGGGGATCCTGCTCTGGCAGAGGGGTTGGACTGGATGATCTCTAGGGGTCCCTTCCAACCCCTACCATTCTATGAAATCTGTGAAATAAGGCAATACTTAGAGCATCTTATGCTTTAGCTTGAAGAACATAATGCACATTTATGGCTTAGCAAGCATCCCTGCTTATATGGAATATTAGTTACTAGTAATTTGGTTTCTATCATTCAGATTCTTGTAATAGAACATTGCTCATGTTCATCATCTGATTCATTTTCTGCAGAGAAGTCTTGTTGATAGTTTCTGAGGATTTCGGAAGTGGTCTTGACTTGGTGAAAATCCAATCTGTATCATAATCGTCTGGAAAGGCAATAGAATGAACTGTAAGAATTACATAACCCGTCAGTATGGCTCATGCTGTGAAATATGAGTTAAGGTGAACAGAGTGAAGAAAATGTTGAATATATAAAGCAAGTACCTCTGTAACATCCTCTATCAAGTTTAAAGCTGAATGAAAAAGCAATATGAGATTCAAGTACTCAAATTTACCATATCTTTTAAAACAGAATATGTAAGGACTTAATTTAGGATCATGAATGAGGGAGAAAAATACTAATGAATGTAACCTGTTGTATTAAGTGTGATAGGTAATTACAGAATTACAGTCTGTCATACACTGCAGGAATGGGGGAGAAAAGCAATTTTTCTACTAATTCACGTTAAATTTTTGTCTTTGTACTAGAAAGATAACGGAGAAAAACAAATCCAAACTAAAAACAGATCACAAGCTGGAGAAATGGATGAGAAGGCATTTCCATCTTAATTTAGCAGACAGCAAATATAATGGAGAAAATCTGTTACGTTGAAAGATGTTCTGAAGATTATCTGCAAAAGCTTGCATGGAAAAGGTGTGGCTATTTACAAGTCAGCAAAAATGGGCAGTGTAGCTTTAAAATGTCCAGGCCATCAGGAATATTTACTGGCACTCTCTTGAGACCTTTACTCTAAACATGAAGTTTTGTGTGATCTGATTAAGCTATGGTATTGTTTATAAATACATCATAATTTATAAATATATATTAAGTATAATGTACATTTGTGTATATAAAAATATATTTACAGATTATTTGGTGGAGACTTCAGATTCATCTTTGGAATGGAGTATCTGTTCTAATACAACTTGCATTCAACTATGCCAAAA